GGGTGGGGGTGGTGTTGGGGGAGTGGAATCTCCTGTTCACATGACAACCCCAGCTTATTCTTTTAATGTTTTAAATTGTTACCCTTATCCAAGAAAGTTTCTGGTTTAGAAGAGGACAGGATCATCTGCTTCACTGTTCTCTTCCATTGCGTATTTTGGAGTATTCCTACATCAGAGGCACAGCCACCCGTCTTTTCCAGTCTCCCTCTCTATGAACATGCACATACTAACTTGTATTCTGAAAACATACGAAATTGTTCCCCCAGCAGCTAAGGAAGACATCACAGGGTTAAGTTGTAAGATTGGAAGCCATGTTACTTGCCACTAAAACAGAAAGAGTCTGAGAAAGTTTTCACTTCTTCTTCCAAAACGGAAATGCAACTGTTGTAACATTTTAGATTTGCTTAGCTGGAAACATCTGAGATGGAGGGAGAAATACAAATGGCATCCCTGACTTTTCTTTCAAAATCCAGAGAACAAATTACTGTTACACTATGAGCTTGCTCGTGTGTACTGGAAACAAAAGTTGTCTTTTTCAGACTGAAAAAGATGCAGCTGAGTGGATATAAATAGAAGCCTATGAACTCATGAGTGGAATAGAGAAACAGGGAGAGAAGTAGTTTTTCACTCTCTCTGCCCCTACAATGAGGGGCCTCATGTTCTTAAATATGTATAGGCTACAGAGGACATGGGCAGCCTCTACAACACGCACTACACCAGGGTCGAAGAACACTTTGCCTCCTTTCACAAAATTGCTGCCCTGTTTCTACGATCCTCCTCAATGATCTGCTGTTGACAGCTACTGAGATAGGATCCTAAATTAGATGAACTTTTGAGCAAGGCCAATAAAACAGTTCTATGTTATGGAGCAACAAATAGATTGATTAAATAGTGGGAACACCTAACTCCTAAAAATCTGTTGTTTACTGTTCATGGGATGCATTTCCAGAAGACAAGGTGAGATTTTATACCACAAATAAAACATACCAAACCAAACAACAGGCACAAGAAAAGCAATGCTTGCAGCACCGGTAAAACTCTGCTTAAGCATAACACCTGGAAGCAAGCTTCCTCCCATGTATACATGTTCCTTCTATTGAACAATCTATATCATGTCAGGCAGAATTTCAATCCAAGTTCTGGTCTTTGCTTCTATGGTAATGTTTAGTAAATTGCAGCCAAGACATTTCTATCATCTAACATTTTGTTTCCTTCCCAAGATCCCCATTTGCAATACAGCTTATATATGCTATTGAGATTAATACTTGGTAAAAGTTACCTGAGGTCTGTTCAGAGGTGTAAGCATGAGGACTTGCAGTAGAGATCCTAGCTGATGTTAAAAAAAACAAAACAAAGCCAACATATGTTATAATTAACCCTAGGATGCATTTATGTAGTGAAAAACCATTTCTATAAGAAGTTTGCCAGCACCAGCTATCTAAGTACCTCTGTCAGCCACTTGTTCCATATATTATTATACTTTCAACAAGAGAAAAACTGAAAATCAAAATATTTTATTTGATTTGAAGAAGAGTTGATTAAAAAAAAAAAAAGTCTGTACTAGTTTTGTGTCCCTGGACTTTACTCTGGAATCAAGCAGGGAAAAAAAAACTGAAGCACCATTTTCTATGAAAGGGGTACAAGTATAGTGTTTCAGATGAATTAAGTACCTTACGCTGCCCTTTCTCTTACATTCTTCAAACAGTACTTCTAATAAAGTTCAGTAGTGCTGTGCACCATAAAAAAAGCACCACATTCTTTTTTTAATTGCAGTGACTGCGCTGGGATTACAACAATGGCAAAGACACCTTAATTTAAACAGAACTAACAGCATAGGAATGACCTTTAGGATTTTGCAGCTATGGATGACAATATAAATCCAGACTCACAGCAGATTTACCAGGACAGCAGTGACACAAGACAGCAGCCTGCACTCACCTTTCACTATCACAACGTTGTGATTACTTGTCTGATCATTGAACCACCCTGGGATCTCCACGCGGCAGCAGTATACCCCACTGTCTGCCTCCTTGGCGTCCACGATTGTGAGGGACACGTCGCCCAGCTGCAGGTTCCCTTTCAACATATACCTGCTGCTGTGCCGCTCTGTCACCTTCCATCCATCTGTCCAGATAATGGTCCGGTAACATTTTGAAACAGGGCAGCTGTCACGACCCCAGCACACTGATGTGATGTCTTGTCTACTCTGAACTCTGTAAAAGCAGGGCACAGTGACATCCTGACCCACCTCTCCTTTCACAACTGATCCCCATACTGTGGGGCCTGTGGACAAAAACACAAACGGAGCTGTTGAGCACACTGCACGCAAGTGGAAGCTCTCGCATATCTTGCGAGCATCACCAGGCATTGCTGGATCAGGTTTTCAACAAATAGATGTGAATCCCAGCAGGACTGATGCACTGAGGGACAACAATAGGCACAGTGATTTGTTCAGAGTAGGTCTCCAGCCAGAGAAAGAACAAACACATTTTCTGCAGTCTCTGCAGTTAGGCAGAGGTGAAGACAGAACAGAGTTTGGATCTGCACAATTCCATGGCTTCTCTTTAGCCCTGTCCAGTCTGTTAGCTCTTTATTTGTTTCCTTAGTTCAGACTTAATCCAAGCTACACATGGGGGAACAATAAAGGATTGATGTTCATTAAAACCATTGCAGGAAACTCTTCATCCCTTTCAATGAAAAGCCACTAAACAGCAGGTTTCAGAATGGTCACTGCTGAACATGTTTCCTTTTTTCTTGTCTAATGACAGATTTTGCTTAGTCCAATTAGAAGAGATTTTTTGGAACTTTTCTGAGAAGTTTTATGCCCTCTTTTCCCACTACCTTATTGTGTTCCCCCGTTCTTGCACAGTTTCTGATTTCTTTGCTTCCCATTAAAAGTCATTCTCCACATTTCCTAGCAGCCAGTAACCCATTCAGCACAGTGAGGTAGTTTCTTTGCTGTACTTGGACCACTCCAGTCAATATTCCCTTTAGGAGGATTTTAATAAAAGCATATTAAGTGCCAGCCAAAACCATTTGTGCTGTGGTGATCCAGTCATAGCCATCCTGTAACAGGTTATGCCGCAGGGCTCTCGAGGTGCACATTCTGTCTGCTTGTACTTCAAAGAAAGCTGTTTGCCATATACTTGCCATTACACATTTCTTATCAAATTCAGCAACACGGAATCGCATGTGTAAGTATTTCAATCCATCTGTATTAACATGACAGAATTCTCTGCGGGAAGTACAGGCAACAAATCATGTCTATTAAAAGTCTAGCCCAGCCTGTAATCAGAAAGGGAGCTCTCTGCGGCAGGTCACCAACATGTGCCAGTGGACCCCAAGCACTGCACGGCTTGACTGCAATTGTCCCATGTGAAAAAGCTGTTTCCTCCAGCTCAGGTCAGTCATTTTTCTAACCTATTACAGTTAAAAATAAGTCTGCATTCAGAGACTTTGCCACAATAGCATACCAGAAACTAATCTCCAAAAATAATGTATTTTATGTATATAAAAAAGCAAGCTCTAAATGAATCTCATCATAAGGTTTTATAAAGAACTACAGGAACTATAATCTGTAATATCCCTTTTCTTTCCACTGAACATATTCTACCTCCAAACTTTTAATGCCTATGCTATTACCACTTTGCAATCTGTTGTTCTCAATGCTATTGCCTTTAACAATATTTTCCTAGGAGGACTACTTTCTCAGAATAAAAAAGGAGAAATTATCAATTTGTCTCAGTAAAATTTCATATTGGCTAAAATACACCAGAAGCCACAGCTGACCTTTTTCCCGGTCTTCCTCAGCAGCCAGCTTCATAAAGCCTGTTGAAGTGAAATGTCCTTGTTTCACATCTTTTCTAAAATGATTTAGAGTTCTCTGCTCATCTCAGATCATCACCATCTAAAAAGACTAATAAGTCTAGCACACAGCCCAAGAAGCAGCATCGTACCCTCAACATGGTTTTGTATTAAAAAGGAGATAAGGCCATCAGCAGACTATTGAGACACTCCTATTCATAACCAAACTTCAGTTTCTGTGCCATGTGGCCACTCTTCCCCTTGTAACAAATTCTCTCTATAACCCGCAGAAACAGTGATGCATGTTACCCCCATCCACCTCCACCTACTCATTTAGGCCCACTTAGTTACCTGTAAACAGGATCAGAAGAATCCCATTCATGCAGAAATAAGACAACATCGTGGCTGAAGAAGAGGAACGACACTCCTGTTCACCACCCTTCAGGCACCTACATTCAAGAACATTTATCCTCTTCATAAACTTCTGGTTTTACTTAGCACGTCACCTTCAGACACAGCTGACCATGCCTTTAGTCAAATTCAGATTGCCTTTCCTGTGGTTAGCCTGTTCGTCTCTAGCAGGACAGCCTTAGCCCTGGTGCTGACAGTGTACACAGCTGACTCTTGCCGACTGTGGTTTGACTAACAGGCTACGATACTCAGTACTTCTGGAAAAAACGAGAAGTAGATTTCTAATCTGCTTGATTACAGTAGATGAAACTCATCAGCATCACCGAGCTGATACAACCATAGTAATCTGTTGCCCCATACTGCTTCCCATACCTGGTTTTACCCTAGGAGACAGAATTTGGATATGAGATTACATAGGATATGTAACAGACTGTGGTAAATGGACTTGCCAAAAGAACAGATTCAAGCATTTAATCGTAAGTTTCTGGTTCTAATACTTAGAAGCAACTCAGAGCATCTTTAGGTAAATGCTGTTTTTGTAGGCTGTAACTCGGTACTGAAAAGCTGTCCTGCTGTTACACAGTTGTAGCCTAATAGAGTTGCGGTCTTTTTTCATCTCACTCTTAAAAATTCTGTATACATCTGAGCTTTTGCAGTGTAAGGTAACACACGCAGAACAAAGAGATCACTTTAAAAGTAGCATAGAAACCATGGCATCCCAGGCTCAAGGCCCACTTTGACAAAGCATTGGTGAAATACAGCTTGTGAGAAATGGCATTCCCTGGCCACTCTCCCTATCCCTGGATTACCTAACCCTTCTTGAGGACATCTTGTCTTTTTATATTGTTTGGACTAGAACTGCAGCTGTGATCACGTGTATTTGATCTAAGGCCAACAAACGTTCTTTGCTGAACCAAGTAATCTACCTCACACTGTTTTATACAGACTAAGTTAAGTTCTGAGGAGTTACTTATTATCAGTAACTGAAGCAGCAGAAATTATTCCAAAAACATACATTAAGCTAGAATCAGAACCAGAGCTGTCTCACACTGACTACCTTACGTGATAGCAGTCACCAAAGGGACAGTTTCTTTAAATGAAACAGAGGAAAACCAAGGGATTAGAGTAGCTGAGACAGACAAACACTAGTAATATACTTGTAGGAGGGAACTGAGAGAAAGAGGGATAAAGGGGGATTTTTGCATACAGTGCCTGGAAGTAGGACTCTTCAGAAAATGCTTCCTCTTCGCTCTTCTTGTTTCTGGGGAACAGGAAACTCCAGGCAGCTGCTACAGGAACAATTCCAATCATTAACAGCAGGCTCCACATATTGAAAAGAAGGGCAACCTGGCTCTGGCAGAAGGCGTGTGGTTCACCTCAGCTGTGCCACAACAATGCACAGCACCAGTTGACGAATTAACTGCTTGTGGTGGTTCAGCACATGACAAACATCCACTGCAGACCAGGCCACATCCCTTCTGCTAGCTACCTGCAATAACATCCAGCGTGCGTGGGACCTCATGGATCCCTCCTCCACATGGGCCACGCCTGAGCTCTGAAGTAAATACATAAGATAAGAAAATAAAGAAACTTATTTTGGATCTCTTCCTGAGCCCATTCTACTCACTTCACCTGTGTTGTTTCATCCATATGATTGACTATGGCAGGTTGGGTGCTGTCTGTATCCCCATGAAAGCTGTTCTGATCACACGGTAGAGAATGTGAGAGCTACAGGGCAACAGTTAGAATCACAGAATGGTTTGGGGTGGAAGGGGCCTTAAAGATCATCTAGTCCCACACGCCTGCCATGGGCAAGGACACATTCCACAAGACCAGGTTGCTCAAAGCCTCATCCAGCCTGCCCTGGATGAGGCCACTTAACCTGCTTCCTTTGGATTTCATCTCAAGCACAGACCATGCGGAATGCCTTGATATGATTTCTGAGTTTCTACATACCTGTTTTCCAAGTTTCTATTTTTTGTTTGTGCAGCATTTCATTGGAAAAGGTGCCAACATCATCTTTTTCATGCTGCTCTTAAAGTGGCTGCACGTTTTTTCCTACCTCAAAGCATATAGCCAGATCACACTTTTTGAAAATAAAACCAAACCAAACTATTAAATGTTGAAATAAGTTTAAAGCATCATTGGAAATATCTTTCATTGCACTATTTTAAAGCTGTATCATTAAATAGTCGGGTTTTTTCTTCCCCCCTCCCCAGATAATCAGAGCTACAAACTTTCCCCTTTTGTCCACTGGTGGCACACATGGCTTCTCTGTATCAAGAAACTTTTGGAACTTTTCAACTAACTATATTTCTGTTATCCTTGTACTTGTTCAGATTGTGTAATAGAAGCTTTCTTTTCCTTCTCTTTTTTTTTTTTTAAATAAAAAAATCCAACAAAACGCTGCTTAGCATCCAATACAAACTTCATCTCACCAAGTAACATAAGGCATACATGATCCAACACATGCTATACATTAACATGTCCAAGGTAGGGTACTTTCAAATGCTATCACATCCAAAAATAAAATCAGAATTTGCTGAGGCAAGCAAAGATCTCTTCATCAGCAGGAGGTTAAGTAACACACTAGAGAAAACAACATCTACCATCTCATTTTCTATTTGGTGAGTCACATCCTCCAAAATGCCTGTTTCCCCAGACTAATGAGCATACCACCCACTGCCTTCACTGCAGCTAGTCTCTTGTTTTCCCCAAAGCAAAGTTGTAACAGAAAAGGGGAATATTATCATTGCTTTGGCATGACAAAGGAGGGAAAAGTCATTGTTTTGGCTGAAAAAAGCCCAGGAAGCCTCCCACGGCTTTCTAGGTTTTTCTTTAAACATAGCGGGGGAGGGGGTGTGGGGGTGGGGCAGTGTGTGTGAAATCTAGAATAAACAAATTAGAAAAGTTTTTGGAAGGTGAAAGCAGCCTTAAGTGGTTTTTTTTAAGTTTACACAATCCCTGTTTACCTCAAAGGTTTCACAAGAAGTGCATGGCAGTGGTCAGTTACTGCTAGGACCCAGTTTGTGAAGTATTTTGAAACGATAGTACTTAGGGCTTTGACTATTAAAATCATAAAAAATAGGGAAAAAAAAGTCAACAGAAAACCATTGAGCTTCTAGCACAGTTCTCTTTGAATGGCAAAGTTAAAACATCCTTGGCAAACTATAGCTCCTCGTATCCAGGAGGCACTAAGTGTTTCTCCGTATCTTCCACCTGAAACATTTGCAAAGTAGATACTGAATTAATTCTGCCCACTTGCAACAGCTTTAGCTACCGACAAGCAATGTTAGTTTAGATCTAGTCCAGCGGGAAGGCAGGAAACAAACAGTGGTGGTTGAATAAAGGACAAAGCATTAACTTTCTTATATTATTTATACATTTATTAAAAAAAAAAGTTTCTACTTCTTTACTGTCACTTACAATGTCACATGCACTTAAAATAGCAGTTGTCCTCCAGTGAGTCATGGGTTTGCTTCTTTGTTTCATCTCTAGCTCCACTGAGCTCAACCCCCACCACCCAACAGCTAGGTACTGTTGGCTGCCCATTTAAGTAACATTTCTGAAAACAAGAGAATTATCAAATGAAACAGAGACACAGCTTGTTAAATCACAGTTAGAAACAGAGTTTGTGCGAGTTCCCTCACCCACAAAGGCTACATTGCTTTCAGCTGCAGGGCATATATGGAAAACATACATACTACAGTGCTGCAGGGCAAAAAGGGAAGGATTTCCCTGACAGGAGGGACAGGGTAAAGAAGCCACTCCTTCACTATCAAATCCCTCTTTTCCTCTTGGGGGTCAATCCAACTCACACTTTCTTTAGATGTGGTTGGTAAGACTTTAACGTGATGGAATAGTTGCAGGTTCTTTCAAACTGAGTTGTTCTCCATTAGTATAACAACTAATTACCTAATGAAATCCTCCTTCCTGAGAAAAACACTCAGCTGGGCACAGAGCCCACCTAAAAAGCAAATACAAAGCATCTGCACTGCAAAATGATTCGCTTCATGCATGTATATTAACTATGCAGGAAATATCAGTTAGTCTAGGCACCTGTGTGTTAAAAATAAGTAGTAATTTTTGTAAGCTCAAGACTTGGTATGATTTACATCTAAGAAAATTAAAGTCCAATTAATTTTAATTCATTTAGCTGTGGAGATTCCTGTCAGTCTCTATATAGGAAATTACACCCCATGACACTGGTAATAAAGGAATGCTCAGGTTCTCTTCAGTAGTTGTATTACAAAGCTAGAAAGGAATGGATTTTACAGACTTAACAGCAATTTCATTTTTAATATTGAATAATGCATTCCTGAAAGGACCCAGTGAAACTGTAAAAACACACACTTATTAGAAATGATTTGTCAACTGCAAATCCCCCTGCATCAGATGCCTGCCTTGCTTGATGCTACAAAGCAACTAAAAACACACGCAGGACAAAAAAAAAGCAGAAAGTGACAAATAAAAGTATTACAGAAAAAGCTAAATTTAATCTGTGGCTTCCACCTCACATAATACATTTAACAAAAATTATACTTTTTTTCCTACCAATAAACACACAGCTCATAAAATATCACACATTTTCATCTGCCTAGTCACTCACCTTCCAACAGATGCAAATCAAATGCTTTGTCTGCTTGCACAACGGCAAAACAAGACAACGTATACCACCAGAATCCATTCTGCCTCTCACTATGGTAAGCTGACAAAAGAAGTGTTTTCTTCATGTCATTTCATCAATAATGCAACACATAGCAGCATCCTTGTCCAAAACCTGATCTCTCTTGCTACCGGAACGCTCCCTCTGCTTTTCGCTCTGTCCAATACAGTTGCTGCCATCATCAGTATCCATTGGTTCCACTTTCACTCTCAGTCCTCCCTCTGAATGAGGCAGATCATCAGGCAAGGAAGCCAGGCAGTTCTGAATCATCTCCACAACTCGCTCCAAGTGCTTCTGAAACCGCTCTGCTGTTTCCAAACGCTGACGTTTCTGCACCTCCATCATGACTCTCAGTGTCTCCCTAGCTTGGTGAGGGCGATACTCGTTTATAAGATGATGGACATGAACAAAAAGCAGTTTTAAGTCTTCCAGTTTCTCCTCTCGCTTTATACTTCCTGGACTCCTTATCAAGATATCCAAGAGATCCAAAAAGTTGACCAGGATAGACATATTAAGTTTTCTTAATTCCTTCTTGTGATCAAACTGCATAGGATGTAACCGCTCAATACCCTGGCTCTCCAAGGGTCGAATAATCAGATCATCGCACTGAAACTGATTACCAAACATCATATAACTGTCTTTCACAGGTGGAGGTGGCTTTGGAGCCAGGCCTTTACGGATATTCTCATCAGTATATTCTTTTATATATTGCATTGGAGGTGGAGGAAGGGCACTCACTTGCTGAGGTTCACCCATTTTTGCCAGATGAGAAGACCTAGGGAATGTCCCAAGAAATGGATGTTAAGCGGTGTATGTTACAACCTTACACGTAAATAACAACAAAGGCAATAGAGAGTTGGCTGTGAGGAAATGAGCCAGATAAAAGCCATCTCGAAGTGCAGAATACAGGAAACGCGCAAATAAATTCGTGTTAGCTTTTCACTAAGGTATACCTTCGGCAGGAATAATTTCACTAGAAGCACATTAAGCAATCATTTCCCGAACCATGAAAGCCCTGCCTGTACCCAGAGCAGCCACACAAAGAAAGGAGACCCCTTCCCTAGCTGAGGCCTGGCCTGCTAACGTCGCCCCCCGCAGGAGGGGGACCCGCGCAGCCCGCCGGCGGACAAGCACGGCCCTCAGGGGAGGATGCGGCCTCATGCCCCGGGTCCACAGCCGCTGCCGCGATGCCCTTCCCCGGAC